TCACACCTCCACTCACCTGGTCCAGTTGCCTGCTGAAGCTCTTAAAAATGTCATGCTTGTTGACTTGGAAAACAGGCTTGCCCTCATTGAAGACAGCGTGCATGACCACACCCAGGGAGTACATGTCGGAGGCAGAGTCGCAGCTGACTGACAGGATGTACTCGGGAGCCAGGTATTCAGGGTTGGGGAGGCAGAGTGGAGGGAGGTTGGGCTCCCACTCTTTACATGTGTACTTAGGCTGAAGACAATAAGACAACATAAGGATATAAAGATGTGACAATACTGCTAGGCATTATTAGTATTATTTTGAACGCTTGGCAGTAAGCCCTGCCTGGCAGAGGGGACTAAGGAAACAAATGTATTCCAACAGACCTCGGCATCGGAGGGGTTAGCAGAGGAGATGCTGAAGTCAAAGCCCATGATCTTCCAGGCCCCGCTCTTGTTGAGGATGATGTTCTCTAGACACAAGTTGCCGTGAACCATTTTCACCCCACTGTGAAGGAAGGACAAACCCTCCGAGATCTAAAGAGATAGAAAAATTAAACTGTCAGGATAAATTAGAGCAAGAAAACAGTTTGGTGCTTAATAGACTCTTGGATAACTTCACAGTCACTATGGTAGACTTTGCAGGCATTTTCTAGTCCCGCCATCTAGATCTCCTTTCAGTAACTTCAATAAGCTGTGGAAAAGGCAAGATGACAGAAATGAAGACCGATGTGGGTGAATGAGACAAAAAATGAATGAGGCCGGATGTTAAGTTGATTGACACCTTACCCTGTTGGAACAACACTGAAAGGTGAGGCATGGAATTGAGCTGGTTCAACTGGCTTTGAGAAGAAACTGCATACAGTATGAGTTGGACTTCCAAATGTAGACCACATGGCACTAAAACCTGCTAGACAACTTTACAAATTTAGCGTGCTCATAATAACAAACAGGTAAATTCTCATTCATAAATGTTGGATTATAAATCTGACCAGTGAACGGTGCAACTAAATTGTTACTAAGCCAAAGAGCAAAAGTTTTATGACTGAGTGATAAAACGTTGAATATTTCTACACTAAATACACATTTTTGTAATTAAAGTGTTACTGTCTGAAATGTAGGTTGTGTGATAACTAGTGTTTTGCAGGAATAAAAGTATCTTTCTATCCAACTTTCATTGAGCAAAAGCTGGTCCTTTGCTAAAACGCAAACTCCTGACTCATCAAACTAGAGCTAGAGTTGATTCATCGCTTAGTCGACTGACAGACAATTAATCTGCAAACATTTTGATGATTGTTTTAAAAACTTTCAAACTTTCTGGTTCTAGCTTCTAAAATATGCATATTTGCTGGTTTTGTTGGTCTACTATAATAATAAACTATTTTTCTCTCACTTTTATTTTGTATTTTAGACTGATAAAAATGTCAGCCTGTAATGTATAAAAACAGAAAAACTAAAAATTCTTCGTTAAGCAAGCTTAGCTGTCGGCACCCTCACCTGTAGCAAGCCATACTTGGTCTCCACGTCATATAGTTTGTACTCCTTGATGTCGCTGGGCATAGGGGTGGGCAGGTTCTCCCACTGGCCCAGCACGTTGGACAGACTGGCAAACACCGGCTCCGTACAGAACGCCAAGCAGTCTCTGAGGGCCAAATACAAAAATAACATTTGAAACAGCTTGCTTTTTAAATGTCGAGTCATTCTTGAACAGAGGGAGACAATTAACATGAGCAAAAGCAAAAAAACCAGAGACAGAGGTGCGTTTTAAAATCGAGAGCTGCCACAGGTGAAATTTTTTAAAAGAGGAAAAAATAAAGTAAGCACAAGACGGCCTCAACCTTATTTTGCACTCAGGGGACATACATTATTCAGGGAGCAGTCTACAGAGTCTTTTGATCATGACAAGCTTCTGCTCACATATGCACACAGAGGCAGACAAAATGATTTGTTATGCAATTTCCCCTCGAATGTCAAGCCCCTCTTTGAGCTCTGACTCATTTTATTTGCCCTTGATATACGTGTGAGTGTGTGTTTGTGTGTTACTCACCGTGACTCCTCCAAAGGATGCTGCACAGTCAGGAGACGTGGGTGACGCAGTCTGGTCAGCTGTTGCACCCCCTTTTTTAGCGAATCAATGATTTGATCCTTCTCAAATTTCTGATACTTATCAGCCATCTTCTTATCAAACACAAACACTGCCACTTCCTGGAGGGTCAAAGACAAACCGCCATTAGCAGCAATTAAAATCAGCTTTATTAAGTCCCACAGTTGTCTATCTATTTAAATGTTAACTTTAATAGATTAGAGCTGGTCTGGTCAGGATATAACACGCACACACACACACACACCTGTTTGGTGGACTTCTTGGTGCCATTGTAGATCCTCCAGCACAAGCCAGGACCCCCGCTGGCAATATGTCTTCCAACCTCAAACTCCCGTGTCACCGGGTTGCCCATGACAGCGCTGGTGACATCTGCCGTCACCTTGGTGACCGTGCTTTTCAGCTTGTTCAACATAGACTCCATGTTCAGGCCTGACCTCGCAGCTGCAGAGAGAGAAGTGGATGACAGAGCACCCAGGACAGGTAAGCAGTTAAAGGTAAAATACAGTTTTTAACCAGTCAACTGAAAGAGGCAGCTGTAGTCGAACCCTTTCTATCGAAGCAAAAGCCTTCGATGATCCATTAGACTTTCAATCTAATGCGCCTGCTTCAACATTTGCACATCAAAGTGCCCAGCAGTGTCCTGCCTGTGCTGGCTGAGGAGAATAAGCATCTTAACAGCCCAAGCTGTCCTCAGAAAAATCAAATGACTCAGAGCAAATTTAAGCCACACCACATTAAGGCTCTCTTTCAAAATACTTCACAGTGACTTGACAGCATGTTAGGCAACAGGAAGTCAGACAAAGGAACATGGCTGACGGTGATATAGCCGAATTATTTCTATGCGAATGGTTTCTTCAGGGTTTTATCTGTCTTAAGTGGGCTCCTAGTAGTACTTTGATGTTTATTTCACTGCACTGCAACAAGGTGGAATAATAAATTGAATTGAATAAGCAATTTTCTAGAAACTGAGATGCACACAGCACAGTTTGCATAAATAATTCCCACATAAGATTCCCACATAAAAAAGCATCCCTATTAAATCAGATGAAAGCACGCACACACACACATATATATATAACTGCTGTAAGTGTGTGTGAATATCCAAACTGAGGGTGCCCCAAAATAAGAAACCGACCAGTCTGATGCTGTCAGCTTTGTCAATGTTGATGCCAGTGTGTGAATCTTACTCAGTCCACTTAATTAGCTCCTTTTCTATCTACTTGAGCCAAATCCAAAACAATGGAGCTTCATTTACAGAAGTGGAGCTGTGCTGAGATAGATTGCAGCACTTCTGGCCTGATTATAAGACAATCCGCTGCCATCACTTGTCAACAATGCGGCACAACTGTTTACTCGGCGGTCTGAGGCAAAAACAATGCATGCCAAAGGAATAAACACACACCAGCCGCAAATGTGCCTCCATAAGGATTAATTATTAAACAATATTTAAACATTACCCCTAGCGTGGGGCTGTTTATCTGCAACAGGTTTGAAGGATGCATTAGCCCCAGAGAGTACCAGCATTGTTATAACGTTATCTCATGACAGCAGTCGGTTTACTTTAACGTTACACTACCTGACATCTGTCAACATGAGGTTATTATCCAAGCAGTGGTCAGATAAACAGAGGTAAACTGAACGCACAGACTCTCAACTAGCACAATAGTTAGCTACACAGCTCGCTGTCAGGTACCAGGCAGTTTAATACAGCAGCTTTTTATAACATTGCTTCTTTTACAAGCTATTCGTGTGAGGTTGAACTGTCATTTCAGCGCTGGAATAATAATAAATAATAAAAAATAAAAAAAAAAGCTAGCACGACGACGGTCAGTCTGATTGGGGGGGGAAACAGGCTTGGATTTAGCGTCCTGTTTTAGCCTGTACGCACACATTAAAACTAACACAGCACTTTTAACACGAATGCGCGTTAACAGACACCTTTCCCAAAACCTTCTTCTAATCCTTTAAACCTACATATGAGGCTCTAGGGGCGCTGACATCCCCCGCTGCAGTGCGTTGGCTCCCGTTAAAGACTTGGTTTTAGATAAGCAGATCACGGTGGGCTACCTACCTAAGCTTAACTAGCCCACAATGCGCAAGTTCGACATTGACGTTAACAGGCGAGGTCTGTTTTAATCCGAAAACTGGTCTCATCCAAAACCCCTGCACGTACTTACCTTGCTGTGGAAACGGCTCGCAGGTTTATTTCTTCTAATAAGTGTGCTCTCAGCCGTGGCGCTGTCGGTTATGGCCGTGAAGCCCCCATGTCTACCAGCAGCATACGAAATGAGGTAGCTCAGTATGCTAGTGAATGAACAAGCCTGCTTCCGGGTGTTTAATAGAGTCAGCTCAGTGAGTCAGGTGCGTCAACGTCACCTGTGTGTTTTCTGTTGTTTGCAATCACGCCGTGTACAAATAAACTTCACATTACATCTTACTGATTCACAGTGTAAACCCTGGATCTCCTCAAGTGCTGCACATTTTATAAGTTCTAATAGTGCAGGGGACATGCCCCAGGGCCAAAAGGGACACACATCAATCATCAAATCACTTTTATTTATAAAGCACATTTTATAAAAGCAACCCTTGTTGACCAAAGTGCTGGTGCAAAACTAGTGTAAGAACAAATAATGCACTGGATTCGTGTCAACACACACACACCACGCACACACACACACAAAAGGTTTTGTGGCCCAGTTAGGAACTACAACAGCACTGCAGTGGATTTGAATAAACTTAACCACATACTGTATTTTGGAAGATTTTGCAAGACCAAAACCATAGTTCCTAAAGGTAAAGGTACAAGAAATATGTAAAATTCAACCACGTCTCATACAACCTCATCAAGGACCAGCGAGGACTCTACTAGTACACATACACTAAAAAAAACGACAGCAGTCTTGTGTGAGAGTACATCAATTACACTTTTATTAGATGCGTTATTCCAAGAGAAAATAAAGCATGTTTCAGCATCATAAAGTGCATTCTAACATGATTTCAGTGTATGTAAAGAACAAAAGATGCTGAATGTACATTACTTTTGCATGACTATGGCTTCATTGATTAAAAGAAACAAATCCAACTGAGGCATCATGCTTAACCAAAGAGAAAGTTAGTAAAATACTCAATCAAAACGCATTATGTCCAACTTTCAAGTAAAATCCTAAAAGGTTACAATTAAAAAGACATTTGGAACTAAAAGCTTAAAACCGCTAAAATTAGAAGTCATTATATTAACCTGAGTTATGGTTAGCCCTAATACATTATTGTACCCTTTCTGCTTTCATTTCATATTAGTTTTCATTTGAAGAGCTTCACTGAAAAGTCTTCATCTCTAACTGTGTTAAAAACGTATTCAGCTACATTAGTGTTAAGTTTTCCTTACCCGCACTACAGCATGCTACATTTAAACAGAACAGGACAAAAATCGACAACGTTTGCGGCATTCAATCAAAATGGCTGCTATAATAGCGTTATTCTTCATTAATATTAATGTCTGATCCAAGTGCACAACATCACTTCTACAAATCACAGATCCATTTCCAAAGCTCAGATAAACCTAACTTAAATATATGTTTATTCAATTGCAGTATCCATACCTGCAACAAATACATTAATTAGTCCACAAGTTGCAGCTCACTAATGGTCATTAATCCCTTTTAGGTTTGTATACTTCACATATACAGTATAATATAGTAATATCTGAACAATGTAGTGCACAAAAGAAAATGCCCACTTTAAACATTATTCATCTTTACAACATAAAATTAGTCACTAAAGTATAATTAAAAATGACTATCCCCCCTTTAGGCACCCAATATCGATGAGATGATATGTCATTCTTGAACACGCAATATTTATCAGATAGATAATGCATCCAGTGCTACAGGACTAAAAACAAACAAGACTATCTACTAATAACTTTTATAGGCCTCTTGTGACTTAAAGGAATTTGGGGAGTCATGCCTTCGCAGAATTAATTATAGAAGAATCTGTGCTGATCGTCACCTAAGGTGTCAATTCCTCTCTACAGCTCGACATTAGATGAGATTAGAGGTGTGACTTGTATTCCAGTTTTTAAAGTATTGAAAATTACAAAAACGGCATTTTGTGCATTAAATTATTATTCTTCTTCAGTGTAAGCGCCGTACCAAACAAACTGGCTTTGTGAAGTGCACCTAGCAAGTCAAATTAATACTCTTCGGTTGTTTCAGAAGGTGCTGCACAGATGCTGGAGGAAGACCACGGGGTGATGTTTCTCAAACTCTTTGAGCAGCCTCCTCCTCTCCTTGACAGGTATGGTTTTGCTTGAGGAAATGTCACGAAGAAGCTGTTTGAGGCTCTCCAGGGTGGTAGCCTCCCGCTGGTCCTCGTACTCCTGTGGCGTCACCTGCTGGCAGAAGGTGAACGCTGCGGCACACAGCAGTGAAGAGGACATTAGCGATAGTGCCACCATGTGGGCATTTATGAAGCACTTTATATTTGGGACATAACTCCTCATCGGTCCCCTCGTTCAAGAAAAATCAACATAGGTGTATTTTGTTGCAGATGTGGCTACAGATGCAGATTAAAACTTTTGGCAAGAACTGTCTTTTGTACCTAATACATTGTCAAAGTCTGAAGAACATAAACGCTTGTAGTATCGGATGTAGTGCAACAGATTAGGGACCTAAACTGACATTGTTGTGTTTCTATGGACAGTTATATACATACAACGTTTGAAGGGTTCTGTACCTGTCTCTATCTACAAGTATTATTTCCTATGATGATGTAGTGTGTAATGTCAGCCAGAGTGTGCATATTTAGTTGAGGTTGTATTCCACTTACTGGCAATTGAGTCAGGGTCTTTTCCCTGCTGCATAGTCCTCAGTGTTTTCCTCACAGCTTCAATAAGGGATGTAGGAGTCTGCATTCATTACAGGAAGGAAAATAATGTTAATTTAAAAAATGTTGAATCCAAACTTTAAATTTAACCACACAGTATGTTTTTTTTTTTTTTGCTATACTGACAAAATAACAGCTTAATAAAACTTCAATTAAATGTTTTATTAAGAGGTGTTAAAATGTTAGTAATACCTAAATTAAAAAAATAAAAGTGTACCTTAAAGAGCTCACTGCAATTGTCCATGAGAAAAAGCACCAGGGTTTCGCTTTGGGATCGATTCAATTCATGATTCTGGACAATTGCTCTCTGAAAACTGCGGCAGACCAAGGCCCTGTTATCAATCTGAAAGAAAACACACGAGAAAGTCAACGATAGATTCAAACACACCGACCACTGATACAACCTTGACACACCGTAAATGATACGACAAAATAAATCTACAGTTAAATCTAAAAAAAAAAAAAAAAACAGTTAAACAATGTACAGCATAGACACTCAAGCTGGTTATGTCTGTTGCCCTGCCTGTCAATAGACACATACTACAGAAAAAAAAAACGTTTCTACTATTTCCAATAAATTGTATTTCTTATTACGACGCACTACATGTTTGCACAAAAGGCTAGAGCTGTCAGTGTTGAAGGAGGTGAACTACCTGTTTCTGAAGACGACAAGCGTCTGGGTGAGCTGCTGTGGCCATAAAGGCCAGTAGTCTCCTGAGTTCATCTCTCATGCTCGTCTCCAGCAGTCGGAAACACAACTGAGATGCTCTGATGGCCTCCTGCACCTTCCCTTCATCTAGAAAGAAACAAGATGTGGTCAAGACAGAAGTCAGAGAGAGATAACTGCCAGCTACAGAGGCCCAGGGACTTATTGCTTCATATGCACACACACTTCTGCTCTGCTGTGAAGTGTGTCAGAATGGGTTGTCAAATCTCTCCCCACAATTTCCAAGAAGACATGAACCATAAAATAACTGTAAAACGTATCTAGTCTCACCCAGCAAATTCAGAATTGCAGCATGTATGTCCAGGTGGCGTCCTGAGAGAAGTGGAGCTTTTTCCTGTCCACTGTAGTATTTAGCAATGGTGTCAAAGAGCAGTCTCTTTTGGCTTCCCATCTGCTCTGCCTGGCTATCTTCTGAAAAGGCTTTGCCACCTTGTTGTCCGAGCTGTTCCCCTGCAACCACGATCACCTGGTCGGGAAAGAGCTCCAAGCAGTCTGCCGCTGCCGACAGCCACCCGTCCAACCTGTAGTGGTGACCAAACCAAACATAATGCTTTTTACTGTCACAGCATGGGAATTCTAGTTGTATCTCTACTGTGCAAAAAAGCTTGAAAGCATCCATCAGAGCACTGACTGGGGCAGATTAAGGGCGTCCGGCAGCTCTCTCTCGAGGCACGTGTTAGAGATAACCAGGTCCTGGGAGGCCAGGGGAGCTCTGCAGGCCCGGAGCTGAACTCTGACAGGAGAGGTCAGGATGCAATCCAGCATGGGCAGCTCTACTATCTGCAGCAGCTGCAGCAGCGTTTGCTTCTTCCACACCTCATCCACCACTAGAGAGGAACGACATTGAAACAGTCACGGGCTGTTGTTCCTTTGTACACCACACTGACCGACGAGCTTATTCTTACCGGCTTTGGACAGAAAGGTAGAGTTAGCGTGTGTTGCGTTTAGAGCTGGTGCCAAGGTTGGTCGCAGGTTGATGGTCTTCAGCAGCCTCTCAACCCTCCTGTCTGACGGTCCAACTGCAAGTGGATTAGAGATCGTCCTCAGTTCCTTCAGCCTGAAGAAACAACAGGAAGCATTAGGGTGGTTAATAAACACTCGTGATGTGATGTGATGGGTTATAAAGCTGTGCAATGTTGTCAAGTATCAGAACGTTTACAATATAAAACAGTGATGTTTTGGGTATGACTGGATACTAATGCATTATTAGTGCAGGGTTTAACTTGATGATTATCTTAATGCTGCATTGTAAGACTTGGTAAAGACAAAATTCACCAAAATCAAAGATGTTATTTATATCTTTATGCCAGTATCAGTATTATTGTATATATATTTATGCTTCTCTTTGCTGTGTATGTTTGTTTGTTGTTCATTTCAATGCAGTGTTACTTTATGTCGCAATAAGGCTTCTTTATTAAATACAATTAGTCAGTTAAGCACAACTACAACATATAAGACTTTAAGATTTTAAGTAAAACCAACCTGGAGCTCTTCTTCCTTTTTATCTCCGGTTCCTCTGGTCCCATGTTCTCTGTGTCACTACTGCACTCCTTCATGGGAGAATTGGGTAACACTTTATACTCCAGAAAACGATAAAGGCTGCAGCCGCTGTCCTCAAAGGTCACTTCCTTGTCTCTGCGAAACAACTTGGTACCCACTGGTTCGAACACCTTGGCCTCCATCAGGGCCTGGCAGAGACGGGCCGCTTTGAGGCGAGACACTTCGCTTGTGCAAAACACCACATTTTGCATCAAATAACTGAGGACGGCATCCACAGCGTCCGAGCCCGTGAAACATTCGGCGTGAACGCGGAGATTCCTTCTACAGCGGCGCACCTCCACCTGGGTTTGCAAGGCCTGGATGATGTTGTGCCATAGCTGGGTCGCACCGAAGGGCCCCGAGAAACCTGTCAGGAGACACAGAGATAAAGGAAAGGGCATCAAAACAGGATGAGCCTTGGAGTTAAAATGTTATGTCGTACTTTATACAGGTCCAAACTGGTTAGCCTATTTACATACCTTGAAAAAAGGATTTATACAATTTATTAATGTGCTTGTTATGTCTCAAATTAAGGTTGAACATGAAGCACACATATTTCAGGGTGAAAAATAAGTAATAAAAAGTCTTGTCCAAGTCCCGGGGATCTTTATCTGAGGTTTGTTATCATCATCATTTCACTACTGGAAACTACTGTTTTCTACTGGAAACCAGTAGGGAAATATTTGCAAAGTTGAGGTACTTTTACTTTATTTGAGTATTTATATTATATGCTATTTACGTCTACTCTACTAGAATCCAGAGGGAAATATTATACTTTTTACTTCACAACTTATAAAAGCTCTGTTACTGATGTTATTGTTGTAA